GGTCGAACCCTAGTTTCATGCTTTAAGCAAATAACATCTTTCTAGCCTGCAAATTCGTGGAACTCAATCTCATTTTGAAAGCCTAATCTCTATCTTTCAGCAACTGAAAGGGAAGTGGTTTAATCCATCTATAGGAAAATTCCATGAATCTTTAAGTTGAATATTGTTTCATCTTTTGTAAAGAATTTCGCTTAGCAACGATCTCGACATATTAGTAAAGTAGCTTAGCAAAATCTCTAGCGAGTGTGCTCCAATTGGACCACTACTTCAAAACTTGGGAAGTGATCCATTCTTGTTCCTCCCCTTTAAAAGGTCAGCTAAAGAGCCGCATTAACGCTTTTTCATCTATACCAACTCCAACAAGTTGGTCATTATTAGTTCGTAGATGAGCCAACAAATTTCATGTTCATCCAAATGTGAAACTTTGGCACATTGAACCACTCATGATGGTCTATATTTGGATGAATGCATACGTCTTTGTAACTTAATCTGGTGACATCTAAAAGAGTGTAATGAAAATCCTTCACAATTTTCAAGATTTCCTCCTTCAAATGTTGTATTGATGAGTCTAATTTAGCCCTTCACTCTTTTTCCTGTTCCTTGTCATGATAAAGTTCAAAACAATTGGCATATGCTTATTTGGGACTGGAATCTGGAGAGTAGTCTGTTGAGGTAACGGAGGAATAATGGAAGGATTCTGAACATTAGGAGGGGCTGGTAATTTTTTTTTGGGGGGGGGAGGGTGTTTGGGGTTTGTTATGCTCATGGTGGAAGGCTTGCGAGTTGTCGGTTTTCTGGTTTAACAGGGGAGGGAAAGTTTGCACATTCGTATTTTTATGAGGGGCAAGGTTTAAAGGTTTGTATTTTTGGAGAAACTGGCGCTTTGAAGGTTTGTCTTTGTGGGAAACGGTGGCATGATGGATGTTTGAAGTGTTTAGATAAATGATTGGTTGATTTTGAACTACCTTTTGGGAGCAGGTTCTTAAAATATTCTGCACTTGAATTCTGATAAGAGAAATGTAGTGGAGGCCTTGCTTCACATAGAGAGTTGACCAAAAATTAGATTTTGTATACCTTATTAACCTCAGTTGTTAAATCTACAATGTGTTGGATCATTTGCACAATCAACTCATTCAGCTCAATGACAAAGTTATGAGCTACGACAACCTAATACAAGCAAACGTCATCACTATTATTGCACATTGACCATATTCATTTCTGAGAATTCTGAGTAGAGAATGAATCTTTGGGAGCTTTTCATCATGTAAAATAAGGATGATCAGATAACTTATCGACATAGACCAATTCTAAGTACCTATTGAGGAAACCAACTCAGAAGAAACTTTGTTAGTTTTGCTCCATGACAACGTGATGAAAAATATCACATAGAAGGCATATAAATACATAAAAGTTCCTTTGTTTGAGGACATGTTAAACCACAAAGAATGGGGACTGATATTTAAATACGTAGGAATTTACTCTTTTTTTAGACTAGTTATCACGAAGGTTGAATTGTGTTGTGCTAAAGTCTTCTTGTAGCATCTGCTAGCACACGATGATGTGAGTTCAATGTTTCAATGTATATTGAAGGGGGAAAAGATTAATTTAAAAAGACAGGGGTAGGGGTCGGACCTTGAAAGGCTGCCTACGTATCTCCAGAGGAGAATTCAGGCCATACATAGTTTTACCCACATTTTTTTATTTGAGATAAATGGTTGACCTTTTTATTAGATGAGAAAGTAATATTTTTAAAATGAAGTTCAAACTATGTTGTGAAACTAAAGACTCGGGACCTATTTGGACACACCATTGATAGTGACTTGATAGTTTTGATTAGGGGTTCTAAAAACAATTTTAAGAGGAGTGATATAGAATATCTCAAAATAAAGTGATATATTCTCACAAGCACTTATAAAAGATAAACAAATCTTGCACGTTCTAAAAAGGTTTGTGACTTTTTTTTTATCAAGGATAGGCCTAGAGATTTTAAGGATTTTTCCCCTAAGATTTAAAAATATAAATGGGATACAAATAATCGGTCCCACAAAGGGATACAATCCTAACTAAGCATACATGGAAACTCCTCTATTCTTGAGATTTTTGCCATTACATTGGATTTTCACCAATGTTTATGTTACCCAATAAGACAATCTTCCTTCAATTTTTTTCACCACCGCCCGTGCAGAGGCTTCTTTCTATGTTGGAGTGCTCCTGTATTGATTTTTTTTACATCCTACAGCTTCAGCAGACTGCTTAGCCCCGTTCATCTTCTATGCAAGAGCGGTTGGTCAGTGATCTATTATGAACTCTTTTAAAGGTGGATACCTTTAAGAAAACCTCCTAAATGTCTTAGAACCGCTAGTTCCTTTATCAATGAGCGGTCACTTAGAGGCCTTAGATGGTGATCCGGGTCGTTTCCCACTCGACGATGGAACTTATACCCCATCATATCACTTGACCACTATTATTTTGAGTTCATATCTTGCAGCGAAAATATGTTTTACCACTAGATGTCTAGTTAACTGCTGCACCTCAACATATTTTAGGGATTACCCGCTAGCTTTAGGTTTCAGTGGCATTTCACTACTAGCCACAAATCATCTATTGATCTTCAAAATCAGTCGGTTCAGAACTCAACTTAGTTTTGTACAAGCTTCATCCTGGTCACTGATAGATTAACCAGGTTCTGGTTCATAAGCAATGACAATTTCTCGAAGAAGACTCGTTTTCGATACTATTTGGGTGGGTTCAGTTAACCAAGCTAGTGCTTATGAATCACCGACTCATTTTACAACAGGGACGCGGTCAGAGCCCTGTCTTCTCCCACTACTTTGGAAATTACAGTTTCATGCTCTGTTTCATTCCACGATGGGGGTTCTTTTCACCCTTCCCTCATGGTACTACTTCTATATCAGTCTCCTAAAGTATTTAGCCTTCCAAAGTTGTCCTTGCTAATTCACATAGGATTCCACATGCCACCTGCTACTTGGTCAGAGAGTAAGCTATTGATGTTTTCGACTACTAGACTTTTTCTATTTAGGGCACAATATTTAGGATACTTCCCTTAGCAGTACGACGATTGTATTGCTCTCCGCAACATCATTTTCATAGTTTAGGTTGCTCTCATTTTGCTCTCAGCTACTATAGGAATATCTTTAGTTTTCTTCTATTATGGCTACTAAGATGTTTTAGTTCGCTAGGTTTTCTCTTTCCTACAAATGGATTCAGTAGTAGTTAAAAATGTTGACCTATTCAGAAATCTCTGTTTCCATGCAATTTTTCCAAATCCCTGAAGATATTTCATCGATTACTATTCCCTTCGTTATTTCTAGATACCTAGATATCCACTGTAAGCCTTTCCTTGTCTGAAATTTTCCCTTCACTCTATGTTTATTCCATCCTAAGGTACTTCTAAATGGATATATCTTATCAATTTCCATGAGTGATAAATGATATATTAAATTGCTAAATCAGAAAAATTGGTTGCTATTGTATCAATTATGTTCACGAGTCTAAGATAAGAAGACTCCAACCGATGACATATGTCGCCGGGTAAATTACTGCCTCTCAAGTACCTCATTGATTCTACCACAGAGTCCAAAATTAGAGAATAACTACCACTAAACACAACTTACAACATTCATCGTACAGTGCTCTCCAAAAAATAGCTCTTTTCAAAATCTCACTAAAAAACATTCTAGAATATCGTTTGAAATATCAATTCTTGTCATTCCAAAGGATCCAACAATAGGAGAACAAGAAACGAAAAGATTTTCCCCCTTCCCCCTGATACTTTGGTCTTAACAACAATAGTTTTAAGAATAAGTCATTTACCTTCTCCAACCATAACTAACAAGGTTTTATGGCGATCCGTGAACCTTGGATGGTGAAAACGCCCTTGGGGTTGATCTTGTAGTTCCTATGGGGTGGAACAAAAGTAATCCTTGCCCTATCTTCACTTACACAAAAGTAAGAAATTTTTATTAGTGTTGTACCTCGAGTCAAATTGATCTTTTCATGTGCAATTTACTTCAAATATTGTTCATTAATTTTCATTAATTTAGATTACTTAATCCTTCCCAACTAAAAATATATTAAAGGGGCCCAAAAGCTCTGAAAAATTGAAATATAATTCGATTAATTGTCCATTCCCTCTAAAATAAATTAAGCTCACTCTAGGTCGAGTCTTTACCTATTGTTGTGTCCCCGCCACATGAAATATGCACAGACGAGGTATTCCTTGTGCACAGAGGATCCATTGAGAATTTTTCTTGGTGGGAACTATATGATATTTTCCACTACTATATTGAATTAATATAAAATAGAAGTTTGTGTTATGGCCCCCTATTATGTGATGTAATATTTACCATGGACGAGCCCCTACTTTCATCGATCCTTGGTTTAACCTACCCTAGTGGTGCTTGCTTTTAAGAAAGTGGAGCGTAGGCGATTTCTGATACTCTTTTAGTGTTCTCCCCTTTCCTCGGGTTCCCCGCCCAATTTACTGGTTTTTGTCTTAACAAGAAATGGTCTGCTTCTCCCATCACCTGATTAGCGGGTGGAGTGCTCGTTATTTAGACTATCCACTCTGCTGGGCATTCCTATTGCTATAGCCATAAGCTATGGGAGCTCCAACTCGCAACTTCTTCTATTCTTGGTGGAAAAGAATCAAACAAATGTAGGCTAGATTGTTTCTTATTATGATCACTATCTTCTATCGCTCTCTATACCAAGACAACAAAGCTTAGATAGCCTACCGAGAAGAGGGTTCACGTCACTCGTCCCCTTGACCCAGAAATGTACTAATCCTTTTCTATCTCAAATGGATTCCCAATTTTCATTTAATATTTTTGATCATTTGACTAAAGAAAAAACACTCATCTTGCATTTTTCCTAAACTATATGCTCATTTTTTCCAAACCATAGTTTCTAGTTTCAAGATTGCGCTTTTTGTATGCGTGTGGTGAGATGTTCTGGGTCCGCCTCTATTACACTCTAAACATTAGCTAGGTTTAAATAGATCTTAAAACTTGTGTCATGATATTTTAAATTCTTTAAAGGGATAATAATGGTGTTTATAGTAAGTATATAAAGTTTGAAAGTGTTAGGAGGTAAAACATCCAAGAACGTCCTAAAAGTCCGAAAACATGTCGAAGTTTAACTAGTATGTAGTAGTGTTTTATAGCGGAGTTTTGGGGGATGGTTTGAGGGTGAAGTTCAGTATTGACATGTAAAGGGGTTGAAAAGTCGAAGAATGATGCCGCGGAGACCATCCTAAGGGTCCCCAAGGAGGACCCACACATAGCCAATGAAAGTTGCCACGCTAGCCAAGATTTGGCAGTGGCTGCGCGTCGCGCATCTGGCACATAAGTGAGACAAAGTCTTCCCTAATACATGGGTCCATCATGATTCATTCTTTCTCAAAATTTTCTACAATCAAGATTTAAAAATTCCTCCATGACGCGCAGTAAACTTCCAATTTTGATTGCATTTTTTTTAGTCAAATATGAGTTTGTTAAAATGTCCAAAAAGTGAAGGGGTATTTTAGTTAATTTGGGGATGACTTATGACGATTATTGAGTATTTTTAATCCCATAAATTCAACAATAAAAGCTAAACTTTCAACTCAAAATAAAACCTCTCCATTCTTCTCTCCAAAACTTCCATTGATGAAGCTTTAAAGCTCCAAGGAGGAAGACTGATTTTCTCAAGTTTTCTCCATCAATCTCGTGGAATTTTCATCACATTTTAAGGTATCATTTTTCATCCCAGAAATATTTTTCCTTAAGGATTCAATTCCAATGATTTTCAAAGATTATCAAAAGATGAATCCTTCTAATTCAAAATGTAGCCATGGGTTTTTGCATAAAACATTTTGAATCATTGTATTATGATTGAAGTGATGTTAATTTGATAATTTTAACCTAAAAATCTATGAACCCATGCAATTCTTGTTTTGACTATTTCATAGGTGAAGTGATCAATCTCTCTATATTATTGAATTTTTGTGTAGTTTTATGTGGCTATTAAATTATGGAGAAACTATGTTAGAATCATGTGTAGGATATCTTATATTGAAAAATTCATACTTAATTACGTTGAATTCATTTTACATTATGATTATTGGATTGAATTGGTGATCATAACCATTAGTAAGGGCCTTTCGGCATTGTGTCGGTTGAATTCGCTATGGATTGAAGTTGTGTGAGTTGATTGCTGGTATGCTGCCCCCTAAATCTCTTTATATTATGTAATATAGGTCTTCAATTGTGATTATGATTGGAATGGTCCACTTATGGTGGCGGTGCTTATGTGTTATACTTGTGCATTATGTATCCTTTCCGGCATTACTTTATGAATTGTGAAACAATGTTGCCTCGTCGGCATTACTTTATGTATTATGATATTTTTATGTGACACCTATGATATGTGATCATTGTGAAAATCTATATGAGTTATATGCATCTGTAAATTTAAGTATGTGTTCTTCTAATCAAATAGAATGATCATGAAACGCTAGGGAGATGCCATAAGTAGGTATACTTGATGTGGGAGTGTAAATCTTCCTAGTTGACGATATGAACATTATGATGAGTTCTATTAAAGTTTCTATATAACTTAGTAGGATGACTAGCAAGTATACTTAGTGTCTCTATGTGCCTCTTGACTGTTATGCTATATGTGATAAGATTATAATGAAGTGTGTCTTTCTTTGATAGACCTATGTCCATTACTTGATGCATGAAGACTAAGAATATAAACATCTTGATTTAGTAGGCTGATGATAATGAAGTGTGTCTTGCTTTGAAAGACCTATGTCCATTACTTGATGCATGAAGACTATGAATATAAACATCTTGAGTGAGTAGGTTTATGAACCTTTGTCTTGTATGTGTGTTAATGAATGTTTAATGAAAGTCCAGGATCGATTAGCCTAAGATGGTGCCCTTAAAAGCATGACTAATGCGTAGACGTTGTAAATAAAAAGAAGGTTAAGAATCATCTATCCTTATAAATCTTGAGTGGCAACCCTTATGTACCCATTCTTTGTAGGGTATTATGAGTTTGTAGGACAAATATATGGTACCTTCTCATATACCTTTAGATGATTGAACACTCTATAAGAACAAAGGCTAGTACCGAGTGAATATGTTATGGGTTGTAGCTCTACTTAATTAGGAGACTTAGAGTAAGATTTGACTTTATTTGAGAAGGACACTAGAGTTCATAAAATCCCTCGATATTCCTTAAATTCCTAGCTCTACCCTTGGCACGTATAACACCCTCCATCGGAGTAGGGTAGACTTCGGATTCCATGCCTAGCCAGTATGGTCTATGTCAATTTTTTACTATTCTCATCATGTGACATACATTCTAGTGTTGGATAAGTACGATGAATTTAGGTAGTTGAATGGGATGATACTTAGACATTGCTAGATTACTATTTGAAGATGATAGCATGTGAGTCCCTAGGTTTTCTCCAAGACCTTTATGTGAAAGTCCTTAATTGGTGAGTGTCTCTTAAAACCTCTAATGGACATAATGACTTAAGTAAAGGTAGTTTAATGAAAAGATAATTATCTAAAGTAGCTTTGAGGATGGCTTAGGTACGTTTGAAGAGGGTGTATGGGGGTCTCTTCATGCTTTACTCAGGTGAGTTTTAGAGTAATTCTAACTAGGGAGTTTAATTAATAAAATGGGAATAATATTATATTTTGTAATCTAAAGAATCTCTTTGGTGTATGTGAAGGAATTTTATGGGAGGTCTCTTCATAACTCACTGTAGCGATCCTTAGAATCCCCTTTGGTAGGAGTGTCTCATGCCTATGTGTTTTGAAGTGATCTTGTGTAATAAATGTGGTATTGGTGTTACATGTGATCCTTATACTTCTAATATGATATTTTACTCAAAAGAGCATGTTTTATGCAAATGTATTTTTATCGTGATTTTATTCATTACACCATACTTAGTACATTTTATATATCTCTAAAGGTGTAGGTAGCATTTGAAAGGAGTCTCGATGTGAAGTTTGGATTAGAATTTCATTCAAGTAAGAGTTGGTATGTCCTCACTAAATTGAAGAACATCATGATATTTAGATTTCATTAGAAAGTATTGTAATAAACTTAACTATTTTCTATACATTGAAGTATGGGACATGTTGCAATATATTTGTATGTCTAAGATGGGGACTTCGAGACATAGCCTTTCATTTTCTATATAACAGATAACTTGAAGTATTACTATTTCGTGTGAAATTTTTTTATTCTGCACTACTTTTCAAACATGTATGCAATGAACGATGTCAAATGAATTGTACAAGACCTCCAAGAGGTCAGGTGCGCCGTGTTTCGATTCGAGAATGCCCTAAATTTTAGCGTATACTCTCGAGTCATAATAGCCTCTAACTGAACTCTTAATTCTTCGGGCTAGTAAACCTACTGTTTAAAGAAGGCCCTACCACATATATTGTCTACGAAACCACGCCTAGCTACGTTTTCAAGCTCATATCTTATACATCTTTCTTGGGAAGAAAATATTCCTGATAATGCGAATAAAGACTTATAATATTTCATATCATATGTGTCAAAAACATCAAATGATGTGTTATGATATGGTGGAATTATTATCTAATACCAAAAGCTTGGGGTGAAAGAATATTTTTATGTCCTTGTATAGTGCTCCCCTATGAATTATGTGCCTTGAGTTCTCTACCTTTCCCTTATACCTTCCATAGAACTAAAAGCATGAAAAGATGGGAACTAAAATTTTAGAAAAAAGTCTTTCTCTTTATTGATGTCGAACTTCATCAACCTTATAGCGATGAAAATATTTTCTCTTAGTCCTGGCCAAGCTCTTCTTCAAGGGAAACATTCTTTGATAGTTCTCTTGCCAAAATTTTTGTGATTTGCGAGCTTAAGAAAATCAAGAGGTATTTAATAGTTTGTGTCAAACATATAATGTTATTATGAGTTGTCTTTCCAAGCCATATTCTCTAAATTAACAAAGAGAGAATATTGCAAGCTTTTTGAAATAGAGTTCCGCTCAGGAATCATTTTGAGGGAGGTTTAGACTAGCCTGGTGGTCCTATAAAAAATGGAGCTCACCGTTTTATGAATTGAGAAATAGATGTCCTTTAAAGGTTGTAGGGAATAGAATGAAGGGATAACGTTCTTGCGGGAAGAAGGATAAATTGTGCCGCTAGTGGTCCTTCTTTTTTCACGCCACACATGGAGACTTCTCGAATAGGTAATTGTTTTGGGAAGACGGCGGAAAACATTCATCATTTAGGTTTATAATTAGCTAAGTTTAATATAGAATAGGTCATCACATCATTGGGTTGATGAATGAGCAACTTTGAAAGAAAATTTCAAGGAGGAAGGAAAGTAGTAACGTTGTAATATCCATCCGAAGAAGTAGCAGGCGAGGCGCTAGTCTTTCTATCTTCCGGTTGTTTCAAAAAGGAATACCCAATATTTTCAAATAAAAGATGTGGAACAGATTGCCCTTTTCTGTCCTATTCCTAATCTTTATTGATTGTGAAGTTATGTACTTTAACAATATGAATTACAAAATCTATAGGTGATGTGATGTCAAAATATATATAATTAATCAGTGTTTGCCTCACATTTATTATTTGTATTTTTTTCATTTTGAAATTTTTTTATGGAATGTTCTAAATAGTATATGTTATCTGTAGGATTAAATTGCTTGAAAAATGAAGCAGTTTAGAGCTAAAACTAACTGAAAATTCAATATTTAAGAAGTACATCAAGTAGAAAATTTATTAATTAAATTCAATATGATAAGGTAGAAGGAATAAATTGCACCACATCGAATTGAAAATAGGAAAAATTACTTAACTACACACAATTAATTATCATATTTTCTTATTTTCCCTACAATTTTTAATAATATAAAAAAATCCCTTCTTTTTATCTCATTATTCACTTTTCCTGATACATTAATTTGAAATCTCATATCCATGATTTTCTTTTCTTTTTTCAAATAACAAATCTCTCTATAAATACATACATTAGTCCATTTTAGAATTTCAAATATTTTCACTTTCCAAATAATGGTTTTAATTTATTCAAGAGGTAGATTTCTTTCCATCACATCAATTTTCAATTTCTTTTGATTTTGTTTTTTGTTTTTTCAACTTAAAAAAATATTGAATTTGTTATTCCCAATCTCTTCACGTGAAGAGGGGTGAAAAACGTTGCTAATGAAGAAAGTTCATCTTGATGTGCAATTGAAATTTTTTGAAAAATTTCTAATGGTGGTGTTGATACACTTCATTCCATTGGTTCAATCATTCAGTATTGGGTTACTGAAATTGTCCAAAAAGGATACATTTTCGTTGTTTTCTGTTGATTAAGTTGTTGGCTTTTTTTTTTATGGTTCATCTTTTTTTATGCGTATTGGTTTAAGTTTTTAATATATCTAGTTGGTTTTGTTTATTAAAGTAAAGTATACTGTCTTCGTTTCAACATTATGATATATTACAATTCTAGCATGCACACTTTATCGTGTTGAAATATTAGTTTTGATACATTAAATTAATTAGTATAGTTACTTCATACGAAAATTCTACAAAATCATATACAAACTTCTCATACATATGTATCATTCTCTCAAACAGAATATTTACATAAATAATAATTTATCATGTACAATTATTTTAAGCATGATACTTAAATTCAAATTTATACTAAATGTATCTAGTACATAACAATTGCAAAACTGTAATGCATCAACCTCAAGTCTAACATCTTATGGACAATAATTTATTATTTAATGTATCTAGTAGAAATGAAACACTTTTGATATTAAACAAAAAATATGAATAGTGATATATTGATAAATCTATCCATCTCGAAAACGAAATTCAAAAAATGATAACATAACATTATAAAGGGTATGAATGATCCATTAAAGTTATGCATCTCTTCAGCCTTTTTGTTTGTTATATCAATAAATAATAAAAACATTGAAAATCTAAACTATTGTTTCAGATCTCCAATTTTTTTCTCAACTCATCAATCTCTTATTCATTTGCAATGAATGATTTGAGATTCAAAAACTTTAGTCAGGTTTCTCCACAAAACAAAACATATCAACCTTTGAATCTTTAATTCAGATAAATATCCAAGATACGAACTAACAATCTAATCTTTTAATCGATAAAAGAGAAAAACACAAAAGGGTGTTGATTAACAATAAATTTCACATTAGTCACTACTCAAAATAAAATCTCAAATTTCAAGAAAAGGACCCTATTTTGAGAAAAAAGAGGAAAAGGGTTTAGCTAGGATAAAATGGATTGGATTCTCAGTAGAAAAGATGGACCTTCATGAACAATACAATATCAACAAAGGTTTTGTAATTGAAAATAAAACTAATATAAATAAAAATGAAATTTATTAGGGTAATGAAAAATAGGGGAAGACAAGGCATGAAATTTTGGGTATCCATTGGTAGCAATTTGAAATTTTGAAATTCTTCGTTCTGATTTTTCCATAGTATGATTAAGTGTAAGAAGAAACATAAGGATAATTTTTGGAATTTAATTAGATTGTTAGATTTTATTCCCTTTTTATATCAAAAGAAAGATTCTTCTTGTATTAGATTTAATCTATCCAAATGGTGAATTTAATTTATTCGGATGTGACTTATGTACCAAGAAGGGACACATTTTTAGGGATTATTGTAATTAGAAAAAGAATAGTGATTAGATGTAATTTATTCTATATAATATGGGATTTATGTAAGTTATACTCAAAAAAATGCTTGTTGCCATGTGGCAGCAAGTGAAAACAACAACCAACAATGGAGGCGGTTGGTTATAGTGCATGCTGAAAAAAAAAATTCAATTCTTTTTGTTTTTGGATACAATCTTCAATTTGGAATTAATTATTTTATTTAGGGTTTCTAAATCTATTAATATGGCATCACAGATTATTATTTTAGTGAATCTAAGAACCAATAAACAATACACAATATAAGTTTTCTTTTAGCTTAGGATCTTTGGAAGAGCCGTCATGCAAGTCGGAGAACTGTGGTTTATTCAACATCTCCTTTATTATATATTGTATTCGTTGTTAATCAGAGATAGATTAGATATTAGACTTATATTTTTATTACTAATACAAACATATTTATTTTAATTATTTTTTATTATTATTTTGAGATAATGAGTAGCTAAATTTCGTAACTAGGGTTTTCAGAACCTTGAGCGATTAACATAGCATGAATCATAACTAAGTAATTGTTGAATAATGTTGATTCAAGCGTTGGTACTATTTTAATTTGAAGTCTTTTAACGGTGCACAATGTTTGGACTCGTGATCTTGCTTGTTGTCGGACAAAGGAGGTAGTGAACAAGAAAAGAATTTTCAACATACATTTAGTGTATACTATCTAATAGTCTAACGTCCATCGAGGCGAGGTGAAAACTAAGTTTTACAATCATGCGATGTTTAATATGAGGTAATTTTAAGGGTTAGTAAATTGTACAAACGTAGCTGAACGAAGGTGCGGGTCAAATTCTCTATTTCCCGGAACATAGATATAGAGATACAAAACTGACAACATTGAATATAATACACTAGCATAAGATTACTATTATTAGGATTACCACATTATGAGCTCATGTGGACATTCCTAGTTAATTCTAATAATATTATATAGGTAAATACATAATTCAAAGCTATTTATTGTTTTTATAATATTTCAATTTAAATCCCCTCATTTCTATAACGACTATTGAGTATTATATTTTTTATTGAAGATTTTCTTCAATATTCTCTGTAGAATGAACCTCAACTAATAATTGGGTAAATATATTGCATACAACCGTTTAGATTTCTTTTCAAGAAGTATATTTGGATGTTTAAAGAATGGCGCTGTTGTTGAGGAATGTGGCTTACAAATTATCTTTTCTATTTATTTTGACTCATAGTACTTTTTTTCGTAGGATTATTTTTAATTTTTTTTATATTTTATTTGTTTTACTTTTCTTGAGATGTCAGCTAAAAAAAGTGTGTAGTGATGCGCGTTCTTGCAATTGTTGTACTTTTGATACTATGGATTTTATAGGTTAATCATTTCTCAACGAGGTAAGTTATATGAGGGAATGGAAGATTTTTTAAAACATTGCTATAAATAAATATGTAAGCAAAGTCTTGAAGATAACTTTGGTTTTGACTGCTATTCTTTAGATTGTGAGTTGAGTGCAAAG